AAAATATACAGCCAATTTTAAAAGAGATGCGTCTTAGCTCTGGACTGTTGTAATGAAATGCTTCTTCTAAGTATGTGGTTATTAAATAACTAATTAAAAAAAGACTCTTCACTGTTAAGACAAATCCACTCTTCCTTTAGAAAATAAAAACCAACTCATATGCATCTCAGTTTTTGCAGACACATTTTTGTTTCTCTGTCATTTTGTTCTTATACAGTTTGGAAAACTCCACATCTAATCAAAGTTACAACCTTTTATTAATCAGAGAACATTTGGTGATTGGTAATTGTGAGCTATGTGTCACACATAAGAATTTTATCAGTCTACGAAGCTGAGCATATGAAATCTCTGTCACCACAGGCCCTTTTATACCCTGAAAGATGTACAAATTAATAGACTCGGCAGAGTTCGGAGGCACAGCTCCTCTGTGACGGATAAGCACGGGAGGAGGTGGGGCTCACCTAGAATTCCAGCTTCCTGGGAAGCTGCTGTGAGGGGTTCACTTGAGCCTGTGAGTTCGAGACCAACCTAACAACATGCTGAAGCTCCATCTCCAAGAACACTACAGACATTGAAATTATGCAGGTTCTAAGAATTATCATGCTTAACTCAGTTTAAGATTAGTTTTGTGTTTAAGAGTTAAAAAGGTATCTTGGGGCTGGCAAGATGGCTCAGTGGATGAAGGTGCTTGCTGATAAGCCTGACGACCTTAGTTGGATTCCAGGTATCTACATGGTGGAAGGTGAGCACAGGCTCCTGTCCTCTGACCTCCACACAGGTGCAGAAACATGCACACACACACATACATACATACATAAATAATAAATAAATAAGTGTTAAAACACCCTGTATATTGAAAATGGAATTTCTAATTGTTATTTGTACAGTGAGGAATGACTTACCAGCCACGTACCGACCAGGCTCTGAGTATCTGTTTATTCTTGGAGGGACAGTCTACATGATGGTAAGTGTTCACTCATCTCTGGGCAGAGGGATGGATATAAAATACAGATTGAAAGCCAGACTTGACTAAGAACCTGAAACAAAAATATAATTATAAAATCGGAAGAACGAAAACAAGAAAATCAGGGAAGGAAAAGTTTTATTGCCTCTAGGATTCACTCTGGGGTAAAAAAGAGGTGAACCTCCACAGATATGTTTTCAGTAGGAAACACCTTACGAGGTGCAACTCTTAGACAACACAACATCATAGATCCAAGCCAACAAGTCTTAGTGGGAAGTCTTAAATACCTCAGAAGGTATTTAAGCACACTTTTAAAAGTTAAAAACATGACTCTCATACAAATATAAAATAAGGGGCTGGAGAGATGGCTCAGTGGTTAAGGATACATACTGCTCTTGCAGAGGATCAGAGTTTGGTTCCCAGCACCCAGGTTGGGTGGCTTATCACACACACACAGAGACACACATACACATGTGCGCACACACACACACACACATACACACACACACAAAACAATGAAAATTAGCAACAAAAACCAAACCTCATCCTGTCTGTAAAAGCAAAGACAAACTAGCATGAAGGTTATAGACAAAGAATAAGCTAGTGAACAGTAAGATCAGTCCAACAATGTCTTGCAAAAAACGTAGGGAAAGGCTAAAACGTGGCAGCTATTGAGGCAAAAGTGATGTTATGAGGGATAAATAGGTGCCAATACCTCTATGGTGCAGTTATAAAAAGAGACTTCAAGAGCGGGAAAACACCTGAGCAATATTAAGACTCTTCTAGAATTAAGGGGTGATGAGCAGTAATTAACTGAAAGAGCTGATGGGGAGCTAGATAGGAAAAATAGAGCCTTCATACCCAGTGCGATGAGACTTAATTTCTTATCACCTGAAAGGAAACACAGTAGAAACTTTTAGATGTAAAACAGGAATAACAAACAAAAGAAAGTAAATCAGATTGAAATTCAGCTTCTGTCTAGGAGTGCTGGAGTCCAACAGCCTCCTGGAGCAAAGGGAAACAACTTCAAGCCACAGCGCACTCTGTTCTATGTGTTTTCATTGTGGTTTCTGTTGTCCTGATCAGCTACCATTTCTTAAGCTCTTGCCAGTGCCACATTGCGAATATCACCCGTTGTCTGACTGTCCTGCAAATCAGATGTCAGTGTTCTTTCACTACAAATGAGAAAACTGAGGCTCACTGAAGTTAAGCAACTTGCTTAGTGTTACAATGGCAATGGTTAGTGTCAGCTGGGCAGAGTTTAGAACCACCTGGCAGAGGGGCCTTTGTGGGGAATTGTCTTGATGATGTTAATAGAGATGGGAAGATCTGCCCACTGTGGGTGGCTCTGTTCCTTAGGCAGGGGGCCCGGGACTATGTAAAATTGGAGAAAAAGAGCTGGGCACAAACGTTCACTGTTCTCTTCTGAGTGTGGCTGTGAGGTGACAAACTGCTTCCAGCTGCTGCCTGAGTTCCCTCACATGAGACCGTGTCTTGAACTGTCAGCTCAAATAAGCCCTTTCTCCCTTAACTTGCTTTGGCTAGAGTAGTTTATCACAGCATCAGGAAAAGAAGCTGAAACACATCTACTTCCAAAGTCTGTTCAAACTTTATCTTTGCTAAGGTATCTTTAAAACATTTTTGGTCGTGATAGGCCCTCAGAGGTTTTGACACATGAAGACCACAGTTGTCAACTCTGGGAAGAAGTGCTCCAAGAAGCAAAATCCAGGAGTTGTCATCTGAAACATGGGCTAAAAAGAACTTAGGAAAAATGCCTTATGATCCAAACAGGAGAGGTCTTCCTACAGAGAAGCAGAAGTATGGGAATTCAGAACTAAGCTCTAGGCATGTCCACGTGACCAAGGACAGGAGGCATGGGACAGCAATCAGAGAGAAAGTGTGAGGAGTGAATGTTTATCCTTCTCCAAAATTTCTATGTTGACGTTTAACCCCAAACATGATGATATTTGCATGGAGGTAATTAAGTCATGAGGATGGAGCCCTTAAGAATGAGATTAGTGTCCCCATAAGAAGAGGCTAAGGGTTAGTTCATGATCTTTGTACTTTGTGAAGACACAAGGAGAAAGTGCCTGTCAGTGACTTGGAGGCAGGCCCTCCCCAGGAGCCCAGCTCCACCAGCATCTGTATCACATTTCAGCCTGTAGCACTACTGGCAATATTTTTTGTTGTTTCTGTTACCCAGTCTATGGTACTTTGTTACAGTACCCAGACTAAAAATGAAAGAGTGTGATAAAAATACTTTTTTAGAAGGTTAGATAGATGGAGCTAAATGATCATGGGCATGGGCCATAATAAGTTAGAAGTATCCAACAGAGAAGAGAAATGTAGGGGCTGGGGAGATGGCTCAGCAGTTTAGAGCACTGGCTATCCTTGCAGGGGACCCACGTTTGATTCCCAGCACCCACAAGGCAGCTAACAACCATCCTTAACTCAAGTTCCAGGGGCTCCAATGCCCTCTTCTGACCTCCACAGGCGTTGCATGACATGGGTGCACTTACCTACATGCAGGCAATACATTCATACACATAAAATAAAAATAATAAATAACAGATTAAAAAAATATAATGCCTGAAATTTTCTTCATCAGAAGAAATTTGGATGTTTTGCATAAAAGATAGACAGTTGGGGGAAAGCACTAAAATAGTGTATCAAAACATGGAAAAAATGACAAAAATCTCAGATTTTATCAATATCCAACATGCTTTCTTTTAAAAAATTAATTAATTAATAATGTGTATGAATCTATTGCCTGCATGTAAGTACACACAGAGGTCAGAATAGAAAAGGGATCCCCTGGAACTGGAGTTACAGACAGGTGTTAGCTTCCACATGGGTGCTGGGAACCCAACCTGGGTTCTCTGGAAGAGGAGCCAGTGCTTTTAACCACTGAGCCAAGTCTCCAGCACCCCCCTCGCCTTTGTTTTATCTTTTTGAGACACAGTCTTCCTGTAGCCCCAGCTGACCTAGAACTCACTATGTAGACCAGGCTGGCCTCGAACTCACAGAGATCCACTTGCTTCTGACTCCCGAGTTCTGGGATTAAAGACATGTACTACCATGCCTGCCTGGCTATTTTTATTTTATGTGTATGTGTCTTGCCTGCATGTATGTAAGTGCACCTGTGTGTGCAGTGCCCTTGGAGGCCAGAGAGGGCATCAGATTCACACAACATTTTCTGTATAATACAGATATTATAAAATCATTAAAAGATTTTCTAGGCAAATAGGAACCAGAAATGATTTTAATATTGGTCAAATTGAATTGAAGGCCAAAGTCATGAAAAGATAGTGTACACGGCAAATAACTAGAGCAAATAAAAAGCTATTCTGATAAACATAATTTAACAATTTGGACTGTAAATAAGCCAAGCACCAGATGACAGATAAGTGAGGGGTGATGAATGCTCAGGATTTGTAGCCCCACTTGGTGGTTAACAACCATCATCAACCTGGTGGCTAACTCCAGTTTCTGGAGATTCGATGCCTTCTTTTGATCTCCACAGGCATCACACACATGGGTACACTTATGTACATGCAGGTAAAACACACATACACACAAAATAAAAATAAAATAATTTAAAAAATTTAAAAATTTGAGCATATAAATTGGATATAAAGATAGAACATGTATTATTTATATATTGTAAATCTACATATTACATAGATTTCTTCAATAAGAAGAAAATGAACATCCTTGAAAAGAATGCAAAGAACACACACAAAACTTGTAACTCATAAAGGATATTCTAATAGATTCTGGAAAACTCAAGATTACACTGACCACAGCTTTAGCCTAGCAGTTAATAGAAAAAAGATAACTTTAAATTCTCTAGATAGCACAAAACTAATATCACTGAAAATAAAAACCCACAGGCATGGTGTCCTGTGCTTCATGCCAGCACTTAGGAGGCAGAGGCAGGCAGATCTTGTGAGTTCCAGACCAGCCTGGTCAACGTAGCAAGTTCTAGATAATCTGGGGCCATAGAGAGACTGTGTTTCAAAGCAAAACAGAACAAGTCCTTATACTAAATAGAAAATATTAGGAAAATTGACAAGTAATTAAAATAGAAGACTAATGAAAATCTGATAAAGTGTTCTAAAACATTTAAAGTACATTTCAAGGAGCTTTATAAACAAGACAAAGGAGCTAAACATCCAGCTGTAGAAACTGGGAAATAGTAGTAGAGAAAAACTAGAGAATCAGAAGGGAAAAAATAAAAAGGACCAAGGCAGAAGACTAGTCAGCAGACTAGATGTCAAAAATAAAATTCACAAACCCCAAGAATATTAATAAGGAAAGGAAGCCTTCAGATGAGATTGATCAAGAAAATGAAAGGGAGGTTCCAAATGGGCAAAACAAATAATTAAAAACAAGGCAGAACTCCAGATCTGGGATTTAAAAGTATGAACAACTGCATGGCATGAAATTTGACAATTAATACAAAAATATTTCTGAAAACATAGAATGACACCAATAGGATAAAGAAAAGTGGATCATTTTAAAGAGGAAATGGAAACTGTATCTTCTCTTTCCAAATCCTGTAGCTCAGACAGCCTTATGGATAAGTGTCATAAAAATTTCAGACATTGGATCATCTTTATCTTATTGACCCATAATAGAAAATGACTTATACTTGCCTAACTTATTATATACAATTAGAATAACCTTAATTTTCAAAGCTGCATGATAAAGAGATGTATGTATGGTTATTTATCTGTATACACCTCATTTATTGTCTAAACATATATATATATCCTAAATAGCATACTAGCTAGTTGAATGCTATAATGCTAGTTGAATTCATAAAACTACATTGTTAATATTTTACTACAGGAATAACAGAACGATTTATTTTATTTGTGTGTGTGTGTGTGTGTGTGTGTGTGTGTGTGTGTGTAGGCCAGAGGTCAACACTGGGCGCCTTCCTCAATCTCTTTACTCTTTACTCCTTGAGAAAGGGTGCCTTGCTACCCCTGGAT